GGACAATTTTCACACCCAAAGGTCGCCGCAGAGGGCGCTTAGCCCTGGGCTAAGCGTTCGCGCATACTTCGTTAGCCCGTGCTAAGGTCTAGACTGCGTCTTAAATTCGGATCAGATTTAACCCGTACTTAGCATTCCTTAGCCCGTGCTAAGCGTTCACGCACGTTTTCTTAGCACGGGCTAAGGAATTTGACCTCTTGGCCCGTGCTAAGGAGCTGTGCGTGAACGCAACTATTGTGTGTCAGATAGCTACTGATAACACATCCTAACATTGCTTTGTCTTGAGTTTATCTTTGAAACTTATAGGCACACAGATTAAACCTGTGTTGTTGATTTTGGAAAATACTACTGAGGCTGCCTTGCTTCCCTTCAGAAAATATACATTTTAACCAACTTACATGACATTCTATGTTATGTTGACTTTATCATATGAAAGTTTATAGTGCATTTCATCAATTAATAAATAAATGTAAAAATCGTAATTTTCAACACAAATAATAGTCTCGCTACCTTAATATATTCAGTATTTATCTTCAATTAGGCGCCACTTTGTTACACTTTCATTTCATGGTGGCACTTAATTGTGGTTAAATTTGGGCAACTTTGTTTCAAATGGCACTTATTTCAAGCACTTCAAGTTCTAGTAAGTACTGGTAACTGTGTTTCCAATCTGATTGCTGTGTTTCAACCTATTGTTCTTGCTCCATTCTTGGCAATATTTTACATTACAGTCAGATGCTTAGTCAATGTAGCCTTTATTTGAAATACTGAGTAAAAGACCTGTTTTCAGACAGTCTAGAAAGTTATACAAAAATTATCATCCTTTAGAAAACATTCACAGTTTGCTGTACGATCAACAGAAAAATAAAACAAACACAAATGCATCACTTACATGTAGTAGTAAATGATCACGGTAGCGAAATCCAGTCATACTGCATTCCACAGTTACGATTATTACTCACAAGTAATTATAACAACGTACAAAAAATAAAATGCAAGTAAAATTCAACTTAATTTCATCATAAGCGATGATTCTGGTCGCATGTAAACACTTGATGCGATACGATATCTGCCATGCTTCCTGTGTAGGAGTTGACCTGAAACGTGTTCTTTGAGCTCATTTAAATAATGTATGAACGCAACATGGAAGAGATTTGTCCATGTTTGCGATCTTTTTGGCTTTAATTTTGGTGGGGAAACTGTAAACTGAGCATTTAAAGAATAATTTAACACTGTTTACTGTGATAACTTTTCATTTGAAACAGAAAATTTTTGCATAGTTTTAATTTTGTGTTTATGGACTTTGCTAAATTAAAAACCACACGAATATTTTCTACTTCTACAGTAGACCAAAGAAACATGTTTCAAGAGATTATAGACCGATTTCTTAAAATTTGTCAGAAAACCAAATTTTTTGGCATAAAAGCCCATCTTTCAGTAACAGTAAGGGACTTACGCGATCGCGTCTATCGCTACTATTCAATTCGCCGGCGCCCAATTCACGGTCATTACGTGCCAAAATTTCAACTCTGTCTGGTGCTTAATTGGAGTGTAAAATACGATGTTTTCGTGGCACTGGCACCTAATTGAAGGTGGCGCTTAACTGAAGACAAATGCGGTTATTGTGTTAATAAACTTTACTCTACCGGGTAATTCTTGTGACAATCAAATAAGCATTGATACATGTAACTGCTGGATACTGAAACTCTATGAAAGCCTAAAAACAGTCAATTCTCGTCCTATCTCACTTTCAGTAATTGTGAACTGTTAAATTGTCACCACTATAATTATTAAAAAAATTGATGGCATTTGTGATATCTAAACTTCAGGAAAGCTACTTTGACTTCCTGTTTACAATTGTTGCTAAACCGAATGTTCCTCAATACATGAAATTCTTAAAAAGCTGAAGTGTGTCTCAAAGTTAAATGAGCATTCTACCCCCCCTTTCCTTTAATAGAATATTCCATTCTCTGACATTGGGTGTTAGCTCTCAGCATATTTACTACTTAATCAGCTTATTAAGCCAAACATTGAAATCAGTAAGTCGGACAGGTGCAGTTCTCTAAATTACCTCTATTTGTAAGCTTATGAATATTAACATACATTGTAATCAAAAAATTCAATTTGAGCAGTGTAACCCAGGACAACAATATCCTGTTTCAGTGTATGTATCCCACATAGCAATATTAGAACAGCCAACAGTTCATTAGAAATATGAGTAATGCCAGAGTGCTGAGTTAAGAGGGGCCATAATACGATGCTCAGTATTAATGGCCAGGTTTATGTCATGTGTGGACTACAGGTAAATTTGATACTGTTGTGAACTTTTTTGTTTCTGTTTCTCATTATTTCATTAACTCTACTGACATTAAATTAGATTATGGTGAATATTGTTGTTTTGTATGATTTATCTTTCATGTTTCCACAAGTTGGGGCTGAATATTTATAGTGTTTGAAATGCAAAACATTCATGTAACTTTGTAAAAATCTACCCCTTGAAATCATCACCAATACATGTCATTGAATGATTCAAGCAATAAATATCAATTGTTTTACAAGAGAGTAGAAATATGTAGAGAGGCTGTCATGCTACAAATTGTAGGTCTCTGGAAAATATATGAGTTTTTAGCTCTGCTGTCGACTTCGAGCAGAGCTTATCATATGAGTGATTGTCCGTCGTTGTCCATGTCAATGTTTTACTTTTTCAACTGTTTCTTGAAAACTACAAGACTGAATGCTTTGATACCTCGTGTATATGTACCTTGAGTAGGCCTCCCTAAGATTTGCTCATGATGATATCTTCAATTCTCTAATTTTGATGAATATTTTTTGTAAAAAGTGATATTTTCGACTTCTTGTTAAAAACTACAAGTCTGATTGCATTGATATTACGTATATAGGTACTACATGTGGACCTCTCTCAGATTTGTTCATTTCGTGATGATATCTTTAATTCTCTAATTTTGGTGAATGTTTTTGTAATTTTTGGTAAAAAGTTATATTTTCAACTTCTTGTTGAAAATTACAAGTCTGATTGCTTTGATATTATACATATAGGTACTACATGTAGACCTCTCTCAGATTTGTTCATGTCATGATGATGTCTTCAATTCTCAAATATTAGTGAATATTTTTGTAATTTTTGGTAAAAAGTGATATTTTCGACTTCTTATTAAAAACCACAAGTCTGATTGCTTTGCTATTACACATATAGGTACTACAGGTGGACCTCTCTCAGATTTGTTCATTTCGTGATGATATCTTCAATTATCTTGTTTTGATAAATATTTTTGTCATTTTTGGTGAAAAGTGATATTTTCGAATTCTTGTTGAAAACAGCAAGTCTGATTGCTTTGTTACTATACATATTGTTCATTTTCTAATGATATCTTCAGTTCTTTAATGGTAATGTGCATCGCTAACAGTGCAGGTAACTCAGCCAACAGGCTGCTTGTTTAATAATTGACATATATTCTGTGTACTTGTATTGAATGATTCATGATAGATGGAAAAATTCAATTTGTTGAATTGCATTGTAATAATTCCTTCGTCTTTATTTCCAGAACCCAGATTTTCGCTTGACGAGGGACCAGTCAGCAGCATTCCGTCCAAATGAAGTTCATGGTAGCAGTTCAGCAAGGAAATCAAGTCATTCAGCCATTGATTACCCAGAAAGACATTCAGCTTCTCCACATTTAAGTATGTGTAATTATTAGCTGGGTTTTATTTTCACTTATTTTGCTGATAGCTAATACCGTGAGACAAGTGAATCAATCTAAACTGTTGTGGGTGAGTCTTATCTACAGGTCAGACTGCACATGCATATTCCTATAGTAATGTACTGAAATCATGGAGACAGCTAATCAGTGATAACACATAATTCTGTGTTGAATACATAGTTGCATAGTGATTCACCATGCTATTCTTGTATGTACTTAGAATGGCTGAATTCTAGGCTAATACCATGATCTCACTGAAAAAACTTACGCTGGTGTTGTGCTGGTAATTAAAAAAAAATGAGATCTTACAATCTTGCACCAGCATTTCTTACAAGTGGGTAAATATGGCATCCACTAAATAATTTGGATAGTGGCAATGACTTTCAGATAAGCAATGTTTTCATAACCATATGTCTTATATTGTACTTTTTGAATCAAGCAATAATAATTCTCCACCATGTAATATGTCATACATATAATCTGCTTGTACAGTGTATATGTGCTTATTATCGCATATACAGGTCAGTATAACAACCTACACTGTCTGAAAATTTAACACATATTGCAGGTACCTACATTTACTTTCAAATAAGATGAATGTGTATACAGTTGACTGTGGCACTGAACCTCCATTTAGGATGCCAATGAACTTATACCACTTAATGGGAATTGTCTTCAATGCTGTAGATCTCATTGGCATAATGTGTTCACACCTGTTTTTAGGCCACCTAATTACATTACGCCAGTGAAATCCAGGGTTAAGGTGTTCACTGTTTTTCTCTTACGCTGCCATAAATTACACCTGTGTATCGTGACACAAAAAAAATGAGGTGAACACAATTGCTTAATTTAAAACCTTATGTTTATTCAAATTTGACTGTAGAATGTAGCCTTCACAAAATCCAGTGAATTTAAAATAACAAGTAGTGAATATGTATATACATGCATGTTGTATGAGGTTAGCATTTGGTAAACATCCACACAAATACATGTAATGAGATATCCCTTCAACATCAAATGTTCTGGAATTTGAACCCTGCAACCCACCTTCTACAGTTCTCTTTTGGAAGTTCAAATCAAATTACAAATTTGCACTTCTTCTTCTTCAAGCATGTGTGATATATTATGGAAAAACAATTTTTCATTGAATATAGTGAAAAATATTATCTCGCTGGTTACACATTTTAATGAAAAGCAGATTATTTGAAAATTATTAGTAATATTAGGGTACATCATTTTTAAAGCTGTTGTCAAACGATATTTTGAAATATTAAGAAGTACTTTCACTACTGAAACCAATTTTTCCATTTTCCAGGACATTTTCAAAAAAATTTAATGGTGACACATTCATTTTCTATATTTAGTATGTCATAATAATTACAGTATGAAAAACATAACAAAAATAATTTTCAATTTAGTCTGAGTCTAGCTACTTAACATGATTTTGAATAGTAACAAATATCTTTGTAAAAGAGTTTAAGTTTGAGTGAAATCACCTGCCCTCCATTAATGTATGTGATTAACAGTTAGTGTGTGCACTGTAATCACGTCTTGTGGTTAAATTTTGTTCTTCAGATATACCAGAGCTACACTCTTTAATTGGTTGCCATGATCCATCTCGCAACTAAACAATCAACATTGGAACATCTCCAAATGGCACATAGTCACTTTCATCATGCAATTTTTTTTTATTTCTTCAAGTTGATGGATCTCTTTCCTGAAGGTCACTCACCAGGTCATTGTAGCTGTAACTGTATCTTGCGCTATACATTGATTCAGTGTTCGTAGCTAAACTCAGAAAATAGACCCCTATTATCAGTGATTCATACACACCTTGTCAATTACATAACAGTATTTATTTCAGCTATCTGATTTTGTATGCATGTAAATACACTGCAGGTGATTTTGGAATAGTTTCAAGATTGGATACACCAGTGTATTGTGATTGGGCTGACCTTTAACTTTTATGTTCCGGTCAATGATGATCAGTCATGCCGTCCAGACCATGTATATAACAATTGCACCAAGGGATACATTGTAGATACACTTGTACCATATTGTATAATGCGAATATGGAAAATTCCGATCACTTCTTGTAACTTTTATCTCCTATATTATTTAAGTTCTTATTTTGTTGATTATGTTATGTACAGTTTCCGGTAAGTGTGTTGATCTCTGCAGTCATAACTCATTTGATTAATTGTTATTGCTGTTGCTTATAGATTCGCAAGAACAACCACAGCGGACTGGCACTGGAGGGCGACGTCAGATCCACTACCCATCCACTGCCTATGCTACGCAGTTAACCGATCTTACTCAACCGGAATCACAAGATGTTAACTCGTCCAGTGATGAGAATTATGCAAACACAAGACAGGTACAAAGTGCTGGTGCTTCTAACACCAGGCTACATAAAAGTAACACCCACCTACCAGGTAATGCATTGATATACCTTTCAGTTTGTTATGTGCTCTTGATTTATGTAATCTAGAATATGAATAATTACAGTGCTATATTTTATTGTCCCGTTTACCTCTGTTATTCATGATATGTTGCAACATTGAAATATTCAATCCAGGTGCCCAAATTTATACCACATATATGTACTTGTCTACAAATGCTCAAGTGGTTAATTTGCCTATCACAGAATTCTTTTGTCTTGTTTGATAAGAAAATCATGCACTCTACTTAAGACTATTGGAGAGTACTGTACCACATGTAAAATCAACACTAGGTACCTGTACTGGAGAGTACTGTACTACATGTAATATCAACACTAGGTACCTGTACTGGAGAGTACTGTACTACATGTAGTATCAACACTAGGTACCTGTACTGGAGAGTACTGTACTACATGTAGTATCAACACTAGGTACCTGTACTGGAGAGTACTGTACTACATGTAGTATCAACACTAGGTACCTGTACTGGAGAGTACTGTACTACATGTAGTATCAACACTAGGTATCTGTACTGGAGAGTACTGTACTACATGTAGTATCAACACTAGGTACCTGTACTGGAGAGTACTGTACTACATGTAGTATCAACACTAGGTACCTGTACTGGAGAGTACTGTACTACTGCTGAATTCTAAAGACAAGGTTGTTGGCAAATAAAATGTAGCACTCTAATTATTAATATTGCGACATCTGCTGTATAATGAATGGTACACTTGCTTTTTTGCATGGAATTGAATTTACAAACACAGAATCTCAACTTAAATGAATTGTTATGTGTGGTTCTTTTCTTACTTCTATCTGTTTTGTGTCACTCTTCGGTCACTTCTGTATTTGGACAATGTTAAGGATTTTCATCATTTGCACCTAAAACACATGTGGCATGTGGTTGGCATGGTCATTATAAAAGGCAATTGGGTACACACCATATGAAAGTGCATAATCAAAATGGTAATTTACCAGTTAATAAGTGCACTGAATTATATACACAATGGGTTCAGTAATGTACTATGATATTTTATGCAGTGGAGTTTATGTAAAATTATATAACTAATGTACGGTACTGTAGACATTATCACCATATTTATCATGAAGTAAAGGCATGTAAATACCCACTCCCCTCATAAAACTGTATGTGTATTTTTTAATAACAAATTATTATGACATGAGCTACTACAATTAATTTGATGATGGATACATTTTCTGAATCAGTGCATTAGGATTCTTTAGACAAGGAGGCAGAGTGATATGTGACTAGCATTTAGTCCCTCTAAATGCTATCAAATTATTAAGAAAGCCATCACTAGAAGCAGAATGGTTTCTTCCTATGTTTGACAATTTCTTAATATTAAACATAGTGTACTTTTTATTGCATCCAAATCACTCTTCCATGACTACTTTGGCAATGTTACATTCCAGAAGTGGGGTTTGTACATGTACATGTACTTGAAATAAGTATGGTGTTTGTATTCAATATATATGGTAATCAGTAATATACTAATATTTCTTTTTTGCATTTTTTGATATCTTTATTCTTATATTTACAGAAGATAAGCCAGTAGACACTAAAACTAATAGTAGTAATATAAACATAAAAGGTATTACCGGTAGATATAATTCCCTTTTTTCCCAGCACATCTGACATTTCAAATGTTTTCATACTCTGTGAAAATCTTTTTATTTATTTTGTTGGTATCAGTGTTTGTTTATAGATCTGTAATTGTACTGACATTGTTTATTTAACAACTATTGTTGAATGCAAG